CCCTGAAATACAGTGAAATGAATTTGGTAAACCAAGAAGCATTTGAATTTTTTTTCTTTCATTTGGTTTTAACAGTAACAAAACAGCTGGAGGAGAAATGTGTATATATTAATCATAAGTTCTGCTATTCTTGCCTGGCCTCATGCAACAGGGCTTTCAAGCTCTTATATTTATCACAAAAATGAGCAGCTCTCCAAAAACCTCAGAGGAAGCAAAACAGATGAAAAGCCAAGTGGGAAAAAAAGCGGGTTGAGACCATTTTGGGATAGATGAATAAGAGCATGATAGTACGTAAGGTTTGAAGCAAACCAGCTGATACTCACAGCTATCTAGCTTCTAAAAGCTGGGCTTCCGATCAAAACGCTTCCATTACCATAGGCTTTGAAATACACCACTCTTACTCAGAAGATATTTTATTCAGAAGACTAATGTATAACACAATCACTTGTGATCAAGACCCAGAATATAGTTCTCTAGGTAAACAGCTGAATTATTCAGACCCTTTCAGAACTTCAGCACATGATTTCAGGACTATGCTATTTGTTTTAATCACAGCAGCGTGATTAAAACAGTACTTCCTCTTAGAGCAAAAATTGGAGCCAACAGGTTGAGAAAAAGTATTTTATGATGACAAAATAAGCAATCGTGCCATCAAGTCACTCTTTTAGCAGCTGGCCTACTGCACTGCGTAATGACCATATGGTTCTTATCCTAGTTTTAAAATACTTCTGTTTTGAACATCACTTCATTTTAAGGCTGTTCTGATCAGTTTCTTTCAGGGTAAATATGGGCATTTAATACAGGTATGTCTTAGATGATAAATGTCTATTCATTCTAGACACTTCAGAAAAATCACATTCAGGAAAGGATTTCATTTGCAGCTCTTGCATGCCCAACAAATCCATTCACTTTCCAGTTTGCACTTACTGCCTGTCGATTTTACCAGCTGACTAGCTGGCCACCTAGTTACTATCCCAGTGGACTATGGCTTCCCCTATTCATGATGCTATTTAAATATTTCAACACTTCACATTTACTTGCTGTTTCACTCTTGTCTCTCTTACCTGTTAACATCTGCCAGTTTCCTCCTTTTGATAGTCACTGCTAGTTGCCGCATTTCCCTTGGTGTCCCTGTAATAACAGGATTGAAGTGCTTTGACCAACTAGCAATTGCCCTTCACTGCAGCAGCCTGACAGAGCGGTGAGCTTGTGGGTTCCCTGCCTTTCTAAATGCCTCTTAACCCCTTTCTTTTTGTGTTACCTGCTACCCTACGGATTTAAGGAAAAAGTGTCTGTTTCATCCCACTTTCCCAAGGTCTCCGCTGCCTGCCTCTCGACAGTGCTTGCAGAATAGACCGGTTTTATTTTAGATAGCTACTACATGATTTACATAGCGAATGCTTCCAAAAATCACCCATAAACGAGGTACTTGCTTCATTTCATTCGTACCTGGCAAGTTTCATTTTTAAGTTCAAAAGCGCCTCCATACGGACGAACGCATCTAAACAAACTCTGAAACCGAGCTTCCAACAGCACTTCCACGGCGAGGCCTCACTCCGCCCCCAGCCTGTGCTTCCCTCAGCCCCGCCACAGGCGACTGTGGCACCTAGAGCTGGTGGGAAGTTTAACGCGGGAAGACCTTTCCTTTCTATCAGGCAGCTTGCCGAGCCAGCCCTCTCCGTCAATGCACAGCACAGCACGGCAGCCCCGCTTCGCCACCAGAAGACACGCTGGGGCCGGCGGTGTGGCGTGAGGTGCGGTGCGGTGCGGTGTCGGCCGCGCGCCCTCCCCTCAGCCACCTGGGCGGCACCGC